TTAAAATTTAATTTTTTTTGGAGAGGTTCAAACTCTCACACATCGGATGACTAACACTTTTGATAGTCAATATATATAAGCACACTTTTGAGAATTCGTATAGTATTTTTCAGTTTTTAATTTTATATAATTTATCCAACATTATATTTTTTTGATAAATTAACAGATGTACTAACACTTTAGACGGTCAATATATATATATAAGCACGATTTTTAGAGTTTATGTAGTATTTTTGAATTTTTATTTAACTTAGTATAGAATGTGTACTAACATAAAGTTATTCGTAAATGAAAAAGTACAACAGATACATTTTATATATGTAATATTTTGAATTTTTGTTTGATTCAATATGGAATACGTACTATTACAAAATTAAAAAAATAAATAGCAAGACACATAAAATTCAGATTGAAATATGTCATTTTCCGCATTATGTACTATCGGTTTCAAAAAAATGTGTGTGTGTGCGCACGTAAACAGATAAGTAAGAACTGAATATAATTATGTATATGTTATTACTTTTTAGTTGAAACTCACATTTGTGTTTCTGTTTTTTTTTTTTTTTTTTTTTGATAACCGTGGGGAATCCCAGACGGTAATTCCAGACTAATCCCCACGAGGCCTTCCATCCGGGTACGCACGGTTATAGTGGGAAAGTGATCAGGGCGACTCGAACCCATGACGAACACTCCAGCTGAAGTTCCAAGAGCTCTTGATTAAAAAAAGTTCAGTATAAAAGCAGCACATTGTAGACTCGAACTTAGTTCATGTGTATCCCATATTAAAGAATTCACACATTAATTAGGAGGTAGCCGTGATGGAGAATAGTGGTAGAGTACATGCTAATTAGTGTTCATTCTCCAGAGGGAAGAAGCGATCTCCTTTTGGATACTCAGAGTGGTTGTTTGAATCGTCATGCATGTGACATAATAGGTTTTGTTGCTAGCGGGAGAGAAGCGATCTGCCCTAATATATGTTTGATGCATAAGTGGGAGTGGAGTATCTAAGGTTTCAGGCGAGGAGTTTTGTCAGCAGATCGAAGCTCTTATCTAGTAAGAAGTATATATTAGGGTCGGTGCAGGTGGCAAGAATGAAGAACTCTCATCTAGCTTGTTATAAGTATATTTTACGGATCGATTTTATTTACCTTCCTCAAAGCTCTTATCCTTCGTTTATATTAGTGAATATTATATATTCTTGGTGAAGTGTCTTTAGTATTGATTTTAACATTTTTTTTTCTAGGTTTCGAGGCCGTCATATTCGAGGGGTTTGTTAGAGATTTCCAACATGATTTTTCTTTTGAACATTAATTTCATCATGATATTCCAGACCTTTCATACCACGTATGAGATATTGCAAAATCTATATACTTTTTTTGTCACCATGAGATCCTTCTATAGTTATTCCTTTTTAGGAAAAAGAAGATTGTCTTTCTCAGTTTCGGCAGAAGTGCTGAAACCCTGCTTTTAAAGATCTTGTAAATACAACCACTCGAACATAAAATTTTATTCTTATCAAAAGTTTATTCTTATCAAGACTATGAAATTTAAAACCATTAACTATCCACAAAATTCTACAAAGGTAAGGCGCATCTCATTTCTTTTAACATTTTCATGATTCTTGCAAGTTCGCTGCGTGTACATGCAATTAATTTGTTCCTTTTTATTTATGGACATATGTACACATTTTCACACACGTACACGCTAAGGATTGGTAAAGGGTAAATTTATTAAGGCAAGAAGAACTTTCATGCGTTACTTGTTTTCTTCCTATTTTAAACCAAAAACTAAAAAGTTTAAACCAAATCGAAATCAAAATTAAAAAACCCCAGTAATATAAAGCTCTCATAATGTTATCACAGAATCACAGATAACTTTTGATTAAACGCAGCTAGGATGATTAGTCACAAAAGAAAACTCAGCAAGGATGATGAAATCAATGTTCTTCAGCTAAATTCACTGGATAAGTATCAACTCCCAAAAAAAACTGTTTATTAAACTTTATATATATGACACACCTGATTATGAGTATTAATATAGCAAAAATATATTGCAACATTATGATAGCAAATCTAAGAAATTAACTGATATCGGGTGGTTAGGATGAGAATGATATGATAATAATGTCAATGAATTTTAAAATAATAATAAAAGGAAGAATAAACACGAAAAAGGCATGCCTTTAATTTACTCCTAAGTATACACAAGGGACCCACTTCGAGGGACCATAACAATTTCGTATCGCAAATACCTCATATCAAACACATGTTCAACCAAACCAATAAAACGCTTCCCACTGTGCTCTTTCTTGCACCTAACATGCTATGTCCTCTCAAAAAAAGTGACTAGGAGAAACTATTCACATTAGAAGAGCAAATCACAGACCAATGCTGTCTACAACTACAAAGAGATTTAGAAGTCCCCTCTCCAATGTTTGATCTAGTTCTTCTACTTGGCTGGCTTGAACTGCTTTATATATGGACTGTCAAGATATAGATTAAAGGGAACTTACCATCACTAGAAATTGAATCACCAACCCTTAGATCTTCTTGTCTACAATCTGGTTCAAAAAGATACAGAGGAAATCTATTTATTTTGTTTTCCTTTCATCAAATATCAAGTCATTTATTTTGTTTTCCTTCATCAAATATATGGTTCAAAAAGACACAGAGGATTGTTCAAAGGTACAGCTACGGTTGTGTTTGCTTAAAATACAGTTCTTGCACCCTTCCTTCAACTTCGAACTTGGGCAGATCCAAAAAACCATATTAATTAACTGAAAGCTCTTCAGATTTGAGTAACCAGTGTATGCCCAAGTATATGATGCTATAAAGCTGCAACTTTTTTCTTTTCCACCATTGCTGTTACAGAGCTTGAGAACCACTTGATGGGAAATCTCTTGTTCACCATTTCCACTTCAGCTATCCTTCTTCTAGCACCATCATGTATGATATGCAACATCTTTGCTTGAAAGTGACTTGATATCCATTTCTAATCATTTAAGGGACACTTAACCGATTCTTTGCAAACTTTGGAACATGAAAAGAACATCTTGAATAATTCTCTTACCGTTATTTTGTCATGACTTCAACGTCTCCTTTTCCTTTGGTCACCAACACAACCCCATACCAACTCGTATAGGATCTTTGATGTTTGTGTTGCTTTTGGAGAAAAAAACATTTTCATTTGGAGTCATGTGATTAGTGCACCACATCAATGAGCCATAAGTTTTTTTCAAAGACTGTTGATGATCATCCTGTATCTTCTGCTTCTTGTTGTTCATGAGACATTTGTGCTTATTATGGTTTCTTGCTTCTACATTCTTTTGATCAGGCTTTCCACAGTTGTAATATTCACTTCTACCCTTGTTTTTATTGAAGTCTGGCTTCTTTCTTCCATTCTTTAGATAGCAAACATCTTCATTGTGGTTGCATTTCTTGCATAAACCCACACCACTTCTTCCCTTTCCCTATATAACTTGTCTTCCATGAGATTCTCTTGCCATGGTACTTTCAAGCTTCTAAAACGTGCATGGAATGCTCCTTCGCCATTTTCTTCATCTTCAGGGAAAAAAGAAATCTTCTTGTTCATCTGGATGTGTATTTTCGGTTTAGAAAATTTATTTTTTCTAGATAACTTTGTATTCATATATGGAAAAGGAAATCTTGTTCTGAGGTTGCTATAAATATAGGTCTAAGGGATTGTAAAGTTATTCATTCACACAATAATATACAAACCATAAACGGATATTTGCCTCAATTTGTTTGTTCTCTTTTACTTTCTTCGCGTTTGTTCACAACACTTCTCATGAGCTTCCAAAGATCCCACCAACTCAATCTTAACCACCAAATCAATATCTGATCTTCCTTCACTTAGAACTCTCATTTGATTAGCTACACCCTGGATTCTTTCAGAGTAAGACTTAACCTTTTCTCCTTCCTTCATTTTCAGATTCTCAAAATCTTTTTTCAAAACTTGTAGTCTAACCAACTTTACTTTTTTTAACCTTGATAGGAATGTTCAAGTAGCTCCAATGCAAGTTTGGCTGAGGTTTCAGAGAGGATTTTTGTCAATGACAACATCAACTACAGAATGTTAAATCAGTTGTAGTGCTGCTGTGTCTTTGGCATTACGAGATCATCAGTCTCCAACCTCCTTTGCATAGTCAGCTCCAGAAATCTCCGGTGATCTAGATGGCGCGCGGTTCAGGGAGTCCTTCTTCAACTATCTCCCAAAGCTCTCTGTTCATCATAGTTGTCTTCATCCTAGCTGCCCAGAACTCATAGTTCTGTCCATTAAAGACAGCCACGATTTGTGGAGACTGCAAGTTTGACACCATGTATGATTTCTTCTTCTTTTTTTTCCTTCTTGTTCTTTTGATTTTCTGGCTCTCTCATGTTCTGACTTGTTCAGAAAGGCTCCAAGGATCAGTAAGAACTCTGATACCATGTTGCAAACTGCAGAAAGTTTGCAGATCTTCAGATTTTTCTTGATTAATACTGTTCACGTTTCAGCAAAAAAAGAAACAAAGTTAAATGTATGTAAACATGCGATCATAGTACATAGTTGACATGGTATTTTGGGAATTGTTAAAATAATTTAAAGGGGGAAACTATGTCCGTTAAATCATAAAAAGCCAACAAATATAGTTAACTTACGCTTGATACAATATTCTAAAATTAATATGTCGCGAGACAACATGTACACTGTCATTAGACTACAGAAAACAGACATATTTGATATTTCAATAGAAAGCTCATCAACAATAATTATTAAAATAATTAGTTTATGTAAAAGCTATAAACCAGATTACGAATATGGTAACTAATTATCCACGCCTAGCTTTAGGCTCAGCACCAAATGTTTTCTTCTCTAACAAACTCAAACGAGAAAGAAAGTAATCGTTTATGTGATGGAGAGGTCTCACCGTGAGGTTGTTTAAATAATCAAAAATTCATTTAATCTGAGAGAGAGAGAGAGAAAGACGTCAAGAACTGAAAATGGCTCAGGGAAGACTATGCAACAGAGACGGCTTGATCTTGACGGCAATGGTGTTAACGGAGTTTTCTAACGTAGGAGTAAACACTTTGGTCAAATCATTGACTTCCAAAGGACTTACCGCCTGTGTGGTTCTCGTCTACTCCTACGGTTTTGGATCTCTTCTTCTTCTTCTTCTTCTTCTTCTTCTTCTTCTTCTTCTTCTTCTTCTTCTTCTTCTTCTTCTTCTTCTTCTTCATTCTTATGACTCTTTTTTCATGATTTTGATAAGAACATGAACTTATATAGCTTGATCATTTCTACAGATCAAGATCTCTTCCTCCGCTGACTTCTTTAATTCTTTACAAAATGGGACTTCTTGGTCTAATTGTGTAAGTTCATTTATTTGGTAATACCTTAGCATTTAAATCCAAACATCTTCCTAAGTTTTAGAACCAGTTATTGGTTGTATTCTGAATTGCATATATATAACAGTTTTTATGTATATAGCTAATTTGGCCTCTGTACTACATACCTGATTTTTTAAATTGTTTATAAAAGGGTACTGATTCAAAAAATTATCATTAGTGAACTTCAAAGAAAATAATTTTAATGAAAATTTTTGGGTGATATATTTGATTATTTGTTCCCTTTAATATACCTTCTAATGCAAAGAATTATTCTTACTTTTATTTGAGGACCTTTTTGAGAAGAAGAAAAAACAGAAGTGCAGCCCAAATCGCAGGGTACAATGGGATAAAATACAGCTCGTCTACTTTATCTTCAGCCATGAGTAATGTCAATCCTGCATTTACCTTCATATTCGCCGTAATTTTCCGGTAATCTATTTTCCAAGGAGTTGTTAATAGTTGAAATCACTTTAATTTTTAGAACTTTATAATGTTGGGAGTTGAAAAACTGACGTGGGATCCCTTTCAACAACTGATGTGGGATCCCTTTCAACAACTGATGTGGGACTTTAGTCCCTATTACGCCCTCTCGAGATGATGGCATTTGGCATCAATCTCGGAATGTTTGGGTAAGGATTGATGAGCCGGCTTTGGGCTGGATCGATAAGGATCGGGTTGGGCTGCGTGGATCGTGGGCTCTGATACCATATTAAGGTAGATATGCTTCCAACCTAGAACCAATTGGTGATAAGTGAAGTGACCCATCTATCTTATATATTGATAGAAATCCTTTCCAACAACCAATGTGGGACTTTAGTCCCTAATAAGAACAAGCGAAAAAGGATAAAAAGTATCTTTGGATGTTTACTAACTCGTACTCTCACTCGTGTAGAATGGAGAAAGTATCGATCAGAAAAGAGAGTAGTTTAGCCAAAGTGTTGGGGACTCTATTATCAATAGTTGGTGCACTTGTGGTTACTCTGTACCATGGTCCAGTGCTTATGTCTTTACAGTCGGATTGGGTTACTGGAGGTGGCCTTCTTGCTCTTCAGAACATTCTTTACTCCTTATCCTACCTTGTTATGGTACATACATTACATCTTCTATGCATTTCAGAATACAAAATACAATCAGCAAGATATATTACATGATAACTTTAAACGCGGACATTTCTAGGCACACACAGTGAGTCAATATCCATCTACTATCGTCGTAACGCTCGTACACAATGTTTGCATTGTCTTTGTGTGTGCATTCGTTAGTATTTTGGTTGAGAAGGATAATTCAAAGCACGGATCATACGATTTGACAAAACCTTGATTAGCCTTGTAGTAACAGTAACTTTTACATAAATATGTGACAATATTTCATTTAGATGTTTGTTAACTCATTCTTGTTCTTATATTTTTTCATAGGGTATTTTGAATTCAGGATACTATATTATACATACATGGGCGGTGATTTACAAGGGACCTGTGTATTTGTCGATGTTCAAACCATTATCTATATTGATTGCAGCTGCATCAACGACAATTTTCCTCAGCGAGTCCATTTACCTAGGAATGTATAACACATTTCTTTTGCTTTTCTTTATCTTTGGTTATGTTTTTAATCTCATTATGCTAATCTCATCTCTAAATTTTCTTGGTTTATGTTTGGCTATACAGTTTGGTAGGAGGAATATTGATATCAGTAGGATTTTACATGGTGATGTGGAGGAAAGCCTAGGAAGCTAAAGTGGACATATTAGGAACCATTGAGTCCTCTCCTTCACATGAAGCTCATCTCTTGGGAAATTAAAAGATAACAACTGTGTTTTCTTTAGGTAGATATTATTCTAAAGCTATGATAACTAAGCACTCTTCTACTATAACTCTCTATTTTATAATTTTGATCTATAATGTTCTTAGTTATTGGATTTGATTGTTTATGTAACAAGAAGACCATGACTTCAATTTCTGTCTCTAATAAATTCGATTTTGGTTGGTTAATGTACAGCCAAAAAAGTAAATCTTTATAACTCCAACAAATTGTATCCTAGACTTTGTGTTGTGTTTAAGACATTTTTGTTTGTAGTTGCTTCAAGATCTTTATAATCTTGAGCAACTCGGTTCTACTACTGTTCATCATCTTGATTTAAAATACGTGTGTTTATATGCTATGTTTTCAAAAGCTTTTGTTTGTTCCATTTCTTCTGTTGTGCTAGCTATTAGAGCATATGTAATGGTGTACTCCATTCATAGATCCTCAACATTATTTTAGTTTTTTTTTTGAATAGTTAAGTATTCGAAGCAAAACTGGTGTCCAATGGTGTTCCTGAAAATAGAGTTCTTAGGAATAAAAAAATAATATTTTTATATATTTTTAAAAATTGAAATTGAAATTTTATTAATTGCATGAATAAAAAAATAATTTTAACTTTTTTTTGTTTTCGGTCAAAAATGATCATTTTTTTTGAACCAACCCAAACACAAGCCAAACCCATCCCACTCACACGGTGCCACGTACACAAGTATCAACTCCTTAAACTCCTTCTCGAAGGACCAATTCTTGCCAAAATTAACATAATAACTATTATTATATTAAAACTAATCTAAGGATTTCTCATGGACCCCGTTGCGGGTGTCTTAGTCGAGTGGAGAAAACAAAATCTCATGGAACTAAGAGTACCTACCCACAACAGTGTTACCCTTAAGAAGTCCTTAAATTTTGATTTTGTATTTTTTTTTCAGACTAAAAAAGAAAAGAAGTAAATATCAATCAATCGCGGGCCGACACGTGTCGTGAGGACCTACAAATAGTGCAAGGATTCACTAAAGACCATTCCTTATTTAGAAATTTTTAATGATTAAGTGGGTGTTATTGGTTTATGTATTTTAATAGATTTATAAATCTAAACAAATTCAGTGTTATTGGTTCCATGATTTTAAAATCCAAGTTAAAATCAAGTGTTATTGGTTCCATGATTTATAAATTCTAATTCAAATCAAGTGTTATTCAATCATACGGATTCATTAATGGATTTGATGTTATAATGAATTTGGGTGGATTTGTGTGGATTTCTTTGTTAAAAATACAAGGACTAAAATCCGAAGGAAAACTCTCGGATTTGTAAGTACTTATTAAAATTCACATATAAGATTTGAAAATCAGTCTATTTTCTTAAGATTTATAAATTCTATACAGATTTCTAAATCACTCAAAATACATTAACCAATAACACCCTCTAATCCTTAATTTTTTGTGGGATCCACTAACTATTTAATTATTTTTTCCTTAAAGATTTCTTTTAAGTACTTCCCATTGCAGTTGCTCTAACTTGTTATAGATTATGAAATCTCACCAGTCTTTTAAAATCTAATAACGTAATTATGACTTGTTACGTAAATCTAATCTTGCTATGACAAGTACATTTACCCCGTTATAATAACGTGTCCAAATATTACTTTAAAAAAACTTTTCATATAACTTGGAACTAACTTGTCATAATATTTGTTATATGAAAAGTTTTCAAAGTAAACTTTGATCAAAAAGAAAAACTGACCAACAGTACATTTACCACCATTAGATCAATGTTGGCTGGTTTTCTTACACACACGTGCTTAATGTTAAAACTTTACTACCATTGTATTTGGGATGATTCTTAACGTATACCGACATTAACGTTAGGGATCTACAATAACATGAGCCGTTGACTACTTAAATTAATTTAAAATCTCTATAATATTATTTGAGAAGTCAGTTTCCTATGTGTCGATCTCATGTTCACTTTCACGATGGTTGATTACATTGATACCACTAATGAATTAAAAATAGTTAAAATTATATTATTAATTCTTTTATTTAGTTTCCTTTTCAAAAATTTCCAAAAATATATATAATAAAAAAGAAATTTTTATAAAGTCATAAAAACAAATTGAAAACGAAAAATATATGTATATATATATATATGATTTAATAAAAAAGAAAAGTTTACAAAATAATAATAATACATTTAAAAATATTTTTAAATAACATAAAATATAGTTTTAGAGTAAGAAAAATATTTTATAATTAGTATTATTGATTTTTTATTTATTTTTCATATATATAGTTGACTCTAATATCTTTCAACTACAGTAAATTATCTATAAATTATATTTTACTTATATAATATTATTTTCAAATACAATCACAATTTTATGTAGTGCTTATTTTTAATAGATATTAAAAATAAAAAAATAAATTTAACAATAAACATCGCTTGATCAAATATTTTTGTCATTATTAAAATTATATTTTTTCTTAGTATTAAATTAAATTTTAAATTTTAAATTTTTATGGTTGTGAAACTAAATATAACCATAATCAAAATACCAAAGCAAATCTGAATTTCCAATTTTAAGATTATTTAAAATAAATTTCAGTTTACATTCAATAAATCTAAAGCATAAATTTAGAATTTATAAATATTTTAATTATTGTAAATATTGATATGTGTTTATGAGGTTCCAAAAATATATCAACTATTTATGCATGTAGCTTTTTATTGACCATAGAATAACAGAAAACATATTAACAAATGAAAATAAATATTAACCAACTCTTACAATTTTAGTTCTTTTGTAAAATTTATATATATGCATGACACTTTAGATAATTTTTAATTCATTCTAAGCACAATATATCTTAAGTTATACATAATTTTATTAAAAATATATTTACATATCTAAGACAACACCCACTATATGCAAATATGTAATTAATAAAAAATTAATATATTTTAAAATATTACAGGTGAATTCAGAGATGCAATCCAATTTATCCAAATGATAACTAAATCAACCGTAAAAACAACAAAATCGACTATATATAATATATATAAAATTAAAGTATAAATAAAGTAATATAATATTATTATTATAAATGATACATACAAATTATAAATTAATTGAATTAAACTAAATATATAATCAATCATTATCATATATTTACTTTAAAAATATTTATACCCGTGCATGAGCACGGGAAAATCACATAGTTTGAATGATTAGAAAATCTCTTATTGAATCACATCTTCTTAACAAAGATGATTTTTCCAAATTAGAAAAATAGCTAAACAAAATTTGTAAAACTGACCAAAACAGCCTAAATGGTCTGCAACGTGTACATTATCTTTTGAAGTGATTGTTAATGAGTTTTAGATGAATTGAGTCATTTAAACGATTTTTATTATACTATTTTAAAATCTTCTCTAAAACCATGTGATGAGAATTTTTATTTTAGTTTTTATTTTAATTAAGAAATTCCTTTCAAGCATTCTAAAATCATTTAGAATTTTTTTAAAATAAAACTATCTTTTGGATAAAAATAAACTTGAAAAATTAACACTTTATGAAGTGTTAAATTCAATAATACTAACACTATTAAATGAGTTTTCAAAATTCATGTTTAAATAACAATAGATGTGTCATTTTAATACAATATATCTCAAATTCTCAGTTGCTGCATATTTTGTGACTGAATTCCATCAGTGTTCTTGAATCCAATCAAATCAAAAAAAAAAAAAAAAAAGAGAAACAAGATTTATTTAACAAAACCCCAAATTAATTTCAAAAAGGCCCAAAGTAATCATACAAAAAAAAACAGACAAGTTCAAAATAAACAAAGATGATCATGGTGCATATATCACACATAAGCATTTGAAATGGTTATATAAACCAGAAATGAAAAAGGGAGAGAATCAAAAGACTCAAGAATCAGATTAAAACTCTGATCTTATTCTTTGGTTAGAATATTATTCGCAAAATGATTTGATCAAGTTGATCAAGCAATGTAGTAGATGGAGTTTGGAAGCTTGAAGGTTCTCTTGGGAACTGGACAACCTGCGAAGCTGTTCCATTGTGCACCCATCACTCCCCAAACTCTGTATCCAAGGCTTGTAAGCCATGTCCTCACATCAGCTTTGTATTGTGTCACACTCTTCTTCTCTTCCTCTTCTCCCCTGCAATTGTTCAGTTTTCACAATCTTATTATAGTACAGACCGATTCAAAATATTATACTTTAGAAAGCTTCATTTATGTTGATTTATACATAGATCATATAATATAGCTATGAATAGTATAATATATACCTGAGAAGGAGGTTAGACCAGCCGTGGTAACCGGCTTCAATAAGGTTCTCAACGGTGGCGGATCTGAGGTACTCCTTGCGAGAAGAAACCAAAAAGATCTTGAAACCCCTCTCTCTGATCTCATGGAACAGCTTCACCATGTTTGGAACAGCTGGTGCCTTTCCCCAACTCTGCCATTCCTCGAACTTGGTCGTGTTTAGTTGCTCACCACTGATTCAAATAATTAAATGTGACATCTCAATCTCGGTTATTCTAAACCAAAACTAAAACAGAAAGTAAAAATGATAGAAATGCACATATAATCCAAGCTAAACCGAAATAGAACCGGATTCCAAGCCAATATTTCTCTCTAATCCGACCAGTTTCAATAAATTGAACTGAAATCAAATTTAAACCCATTTATTGATTAAAATGTTATACTGAAGAAATCTACAATTTTCCTAAAGAAGAATCAAAACCTACAGAATTTTGATACCTAAATAAGTTTCACTGCTTTTGATACCAAATAAACCAAATCAAAAGTAACGTAATAGAACCGAATAAACCAAAATAATTAAAATATATATTTCTAACTATATATATACGAACTATAATAGAGTACATAAATCATATTAAATTATCATTATTGATTTGGAATTTTCAATTGTTTTATTTATAAAAAATTGAACCAAACCAAAATAAAATTTTGTCAACTCAAACCGAATAGATCCTAATCCATATGATATGGTACATTCAATTTTCTTACCCGAAACAGCCGTTGCTCTTGTGGTAAGGAATGGTGGAGAGGAGAGTGTCATCAACGTCAAAGATCCAAGCATCCATGCCATCACATTTCTC